TGGACACAATGGTTGGGTTCTGTGTACAGGCCGGGGAGGCCATTGCATTTGACTGTCTTTTAGCAGAAGCAGCTGGATCTGTTCTACAAGAAGGTGCTCCTCTAATACACTCTTTACTAACAGGGGTTGCTAAGCATTTGCCTGAGGAAATGCCTGAAAAAATGGAAATACGAAGATTGAGGAGGGTGATAAACAGCATGACTCTAACCGATGATCATGAGTCAGAGTGGATCAAATCAATTCTTGAAGAAGTTGGGGGTGCAAGTGATGGTTCATGGAGCTTGTTGCCATATTTATTTTCCACATTTATGACATCAAACATTTGGAGTACGTCAACTTTCAATGTTGATACAGGTGGCTTTAACAACAACATACACTGCTTGGCAAGGTTAGATTTATAAAATTTTATTTTCTTCATGTATGCATATATTTGTTCAGTCTCTCTCCCCAAAAAAGGTTTCACATTTCCTTTCTCATCTGTCCCAAAATAAAGATCTAGTTTCCCCTTAAGAATCGCGTGGTTTGTATTATTTCTCTCTCTCTCTCTCTCTCTCTCTCTGTCTCCCGCATAATTTTCAACCAGAGTTTTACTTTCCTTAATCATCATGCCGGGTTAAATATGGATGCGTTTTATGAGACTGAGTAATATTTCTAATATCTAAATACATTCAAAGTACTCTGTATGATATTTTTTGTGATCTATATGCTGCCTGGAGGCCAGCTATGGTTCTGTTGTAACAACATGAAGTTCTTAAACATTTTCCACAAGAGTAGGGTCTGGGGAGGGTGTGTGTACGCAGACCTTACCCCTACTCGAAAGTAGAGAGGCTGTTTCCAAAGAGACCCCCGGCTCAACGTCGAAAGTTGCATTGCTTGACTAACTGCTACTTCATTAGTTAAAGAAGCGCAGACAGTTTAGAGATCCATTTTGATTTATTCCATCACACCCCAAAGCCAAAAAATAGTGAAATTTTGGCTCCATCGGAGATGATGGAAATATATTATTTCTAATAACTTTTGTTTAAATATTGGTGTAAAAGGAAAAAATAAAAACTACTTCCTCCATCCCATAAAATCCTTACACTTTGAATCCACAAGGTTTAAGAAAGTTGTTGAAAAGTAAAAGGTGCGTGGTTAGATTCTGTTTAGAGGAGAGAGAATTGTCGGAAGCCACATATTCATTACCAAAATAGGGAATGAAGTAAGTATAAGGTATTTTTTGGGACATCCAAAAAATGAAAGTTTAAGGAATTTTATGGGACGGAGGGATTATATATTTAAAAGCAACATAAAATTTTTTATTAATCAAGTGATTAGAGAAAATATCTAAGGAAAGAGGATATTCTTTGATCATATGAATATTAAATGAGAAGATAAAAATGGGACGAAGAGAGTAATATGTACTCTATACAATTATGCATAAATCATCCTCCCCCTTGTCATATTTGAATGTCCGAATATCATCTTCTCATTAAGTTTTCTTTTTTTGTTGAAAATTTCATGCTTGCAAATTAAATTTTTATCCTTCAACTAGTCAACTACCACATAAATTATTATATCTTATTGGATAGTAATGTTTCTAAAAATTAGCAAATTCTGCTAGAATTTGATGAGGACACCGTTGATGTATTTTCAATTTTTCATTACTTCTCCATTGGATTAAGACTACTTTCTAATTTTTTCTGCAAGAGTGGTGTCTTGTTTATCATTTCTATGCCCTATTATTATGAAAGACTTCAGAACGGCATAAGAATTCAAAAAGTAAAAGTTTTGTGGTTGATGTTTATGCACACCACAAACAAATAATATTGACAAATACTCTTTTTTTTGTTAAAAGAAAGTGAGATGTACCATTGGGATATGGACGAAAAGAAAGAAAAAAACTTGAAAAACACATATCTCTCTACCCACACACACAACAAGCGCAGTAGAATCTTGGGAGGGCGAGGGGGGGTGTACGCAGACCTTACCCCTATTTGTGTGTATGTGATCCTAGGTTGGGCTTTCTTTGGCAGGTGTATTTGTGCTGTTATTGCAGGAAGTGAATTCGTCAGGCTTGAAAGAGAGCTTCAGCAGAATCAGTCTTTTTCAAATGGACTTGCTGATGAGGCATTGGACCCTGCTGACATACAGAACCGTTCATCTATCAAGGCAAGCATCAAGTCTACAATGCAACTCTTTGTCAAATTCTCTTCCGGAATTATCCTGGATTGTTGGAATGAGCATAACAGGTAAGACTACCTCACACTGTTCCCCAAATATCACGCAATGGAATGCGATTTACCTTTTAAAGTCTGAACAAGTAGACGAGTTATACAGTAAATTAGAATGGTAACTTTTCACCTAATCACCTCATTAGTAAGTTGATGAGTTGATCTCAAGGTCACAAGGATTAGTTAGTCTGTGAGACCTAAACCGAAATGCTTACGGATTAGTTAACAAACTGTTCTTGTACTGAAAAAACTTAAACCAAACCAAAGAAACCCGTATATTCCACTAGAGAAAGGTCTGGGACTCTGGGGAGGGCAAGATATACAGAAACCTTGGTATATGACTGTTAGTGGTTTGAGGCTCTTTTAAATGAAGATAGCAGGAAAAGCCAGGAATAAAACATGGTTGATTCATAAGTGCATGAGGCTGCAGTAAATTTCAACAAGCAACAAAACAAGTTGTCTTTATTGTAACTATTAAATTTTTTAGATGCTATATCTAACTTATACAAAGCATAGATACATTTGCCTTCTAAATGTCTCAAGTAATTTGGTCAATAATATTTAGACCAGGGTTCCATCTGAAAGGCAACTTAACAAGAGTAGTCCAATGTCTTATATGTTAGTTTACATTTTTATATTCAGCCTATATTGAATGACCTAACAAATACTCCCTCTGTCCCAAGTATTTGTCCAGTTTTGACTTTTTGCAGTCAACCTAGATTGATCGACTTATAATTAGATAAAAATTAAATGATATATTAATTATATAAAAAGATATTTTGAAAATATTCTACAAGCTGAATCTAATAAAATTACTCTTGAATCAATATCTTTGAACTTATTACACGCGATTTTGAACTTATGTTTGCAGGTGTAGTAGTATTGTAGCAAAGCTAATCTTCTTGGACCAAGTTTGTGAGATCTCTCCATACCTTCCAAGAAGCACGCTAGAAGCCCACATCCCTTACGCCATTCTTCGCTCCATCTACACCCAGTACTATTCAAACTCCTCTCCTGGCCCACTCCCACTTCTCAACGAATCTCCCCACCGCCATTCCCCTGCTGCTGCTGCGCTGGCGCATTCGTCTCCGAGGCGGCACTCGCCCCGTGAGTATTCGCCCCACGCAAGCCTTAATGATTCTGGCCACTTCAGTAAGGCATCATCAACAGTGGGGTTAAGCCACCAGATGGAAATTAGGCATAGGGATTTGAGGCAATCCGGGCCGTTGGATTATGGTGCCAGTCGCAAAGCAAAGCTTATGGAGGGCTCCGCGTCATCAAGCACGAGGGGACCGAGTTCCAAGTCTGGTCCTATATCATACAAGTACAACAGCAAATAAGGGCTCATCCTGGCCTAGCCTAGCCTAACCAAGTCATGTTGATGTAAGTTTGCTTCTTTTCTTTTATGAAACTTGACCATCTGACTTACAAAATTTGTATTTGATTTTTATTTTTTTTTAGTTTGGTGAGTGTAACTTTTGATATGGCATTTCTATTTTGGTCAATGTATGCGAAAAAGTTCCACACGATAGCCCATATGGTACCCACATGGAAATGTTGTTTTTATGGGAACTGGTTGAACCGAAAAAAAAATGGGAAACGATGGATTTGGATTATTGGTTGTGTTGGTTTTTTTAGATAAAACTTTTAGGTAAAAATTCAAACAACGTTTGTCTAAATCAGCCGCAACTCACCACATCGAAGTTGATTGCACTATCTCACTCACTTCATACTCATAATGTCTTAGATTATAGTTTTGTTTTTATTTATTTATTTTGAATAAAAATTTATTCTTGTTCTGTTTTTCCATTTCAGTATTTTTTTGTTTTTTTATTTTACGGAGTATGTATTTATAACATTTCTGTTTTTTATATGTCCAACATGAATAGTAAATTAGTACTCTCTTCATCTGAAAATATTTTTTTCGTGTTGACTTAGCACACTTATTGAATAGTAAAAAAGTGCTAAATTCCCAAAAATGCACATGCTATAAACTTGTAAATCTTCTTTTCTTATTAAAAAAAAATAGAATAATAGATAACTGATAAAATAGAAGCATATTATTGAAATATATCTTTAAAAAGTATACTGACAAGGGAAATAGAAAGAATATTTTCGGGCGGGCTAAAAAGGAAAGTGGGAAGAACATTCCCGGATGTAGAAAGTAATAGACAACGGAAGGACGCAATGAAAATCAATTGGCTTTGTTCTTTACTCAATATATATCTTAAATACTTTTTGAAATTTCACCCACTATCTTAACCTTTGTTTGGATGAAGAAAAAATGAAAGGAATGAAAAAGAATGGAGAGAAAACACAAGTTTCATGACATCTTCTCTTGCTTGGTTAGGTGGAATGCCCACTCCGAGCGCCCCCGCACTCCCGACAGGATTGTGAAGGGGATAAATCTTGAGAAAATCTCAATCTGATCCTTAGAAAAATCTTCCTATGCTCGGTGCGCATAAGGAGCCATTACAAATAATAAAACTCCTACACTGTTGCCGCTCGGATTTGACTCTGGGATCAACGGACTTGACATCTTTATGGACTAGTTGAGCTATTAGGAAGAGTATGGAGAGAGAGAGAGAGAGAGAAAACAGAGGTTTGACAATGGGAAAACATTCTCTCCATCAAAGAAGAGAAAAATGCATGGGTGAAGGGAAAATATATGAAATTACTTCTTTGCCATTCAAAATATTAAAATTATTTTATCCCCTTGTACAAAAATGTCATTTCACATCAATAAATTGTCTTTCCTCCCACTGTTCTATCAAAGCAAACAAAGGAAAGAATATGTTCTTTTTCTTTTCCTCTTATTTTCTCTTCATTTTCTAGTCATCCAAATAATATATTATTGTTCATCTTAGCATTACATATTCAGAAGACTAATGCCACATCTAGTTCATGTTCACCAGTTGGGATCCCTTTCTTAGGGTTTCAGCTACAGTACATATACCTTTCCAAAAATACAAACATTTTTTTCTTAAAAATACACAAGACCACTCGCATGTGTTGCAATGAGAAAACCCTTGAGGGGCAAAAGGGGGAATCTACCGCAAGTGATGCCTGCATTAAGAAAAATGTTCACTTCATCATTATATTCTTGAACTGATATGTTCTTCACATACACAAAAGCACAAAACAGAACTCGAATCGAAGAAAAAGGAACCTCAATGTCTCCTTTGTTCCGCGCCGAACTTTGCAACGGATTGTGGGAAGCCCGAGCCGTTGGTGAGCTTCGTAGCGGTGACACCCAGAAAAGCCTGAATAAATTTTAATAATAAAAAAATAAAAAAATAAGGCTTGAAAGTTACTGTATTTTTCTTCCCTGAATTAATGTGTTGAATATATAGTATAGACAGAAGTGAATGCATACCATAGTAAACTCCATCAACTTCCAGCACATCAATCTGCATCAAAGTTCAATATATTGAGTCTATCGATATGATTATCAGCCTTGATGAAATTTCTCTTCTTTTTTATTAAAAAAATCTCTTCTAATAGAGATAAACAACATGCTATTAGTTGTTTGTGTCAATTGTTTGAGAAAAAATGATTTAGGGAAAATGTGTTTAGCAAAATGAGTCGTTTGTGTAAGCTCCATAAGTTTTTTCTCTTTAAAATGTATAATATATAGAGGAAAAAACATTGAGAAAAAGCTTTTGGTAAACCAATTTTTGTGACAAAAAAGTTGTCTAAAAAGTTGTTTCCCAATGCATGATTACTTCATTGCCAGTGTTGATGGTGGTTTCACTTAAAATTAAACCAAACAAGCCAAGTACTCCCTCTGCCCCATTCCATTCTTTACACTTGCCAAGTTGTCCAATTAAACACTTTACACTTTCAAAATTAGCAAAGTTATAAAAAGTCCATTTTACCCTTTCGTGTTCATGTCACATTGTCTCTAATACCCCCACCTTTATTTTACCTACCCTACTTTAAAAACTATGGAGTATACTATTAGGGGCAAATATGGAAAGTAAATAACATTCTTATATTTGCCTAAAACTTCATGATTCGTTCTCTGTCAAGAACCAATTGGGACGGACGGAGTATATTTCACTCAATAGTGGAGCCTGAAAATGATGCAAGGTCTACATAGAGCTTACATCCACCACAGTGAGTAAAGAGCTTGTTTCCAAGTGGTGTTGTTACTTTAAACTTGGAAAAAGTTAGACACTAGATTTTGAACATTTAAATGCCATATACATCCAATATGACAAGCAAAGAAGAATAAACCTATTTTAACAATCGAGTTTGAAATCAATGACTATATGCTCCCAAACAATGATTTTCTATGCATGTTGGATTTCCGACATTGGAAAACAAAGAGAAAAACGGCTAGCATATATAGAAAGGTGAAGCTTTACTCATCAGCATAAGCTATTGGGTTAGAAAGTGGATTCCGACTTTATATGCAAGTAGTTAATTATATTCGACACTCTGTCTGTTGTCCTTGGCTCACTGGAATTTTAACATGGTACGGGAGCAGGTCCGGATTCGATTCTTCATGGTTGTTTGGACGTGGGTTTAGCAATATGAGCTACTTGTCCATGGAGGTTGAGTTGGCTATAAAGGATTGAGAAGCCACCGTCCGTTCTGTGGGCTAGCTATAAGAGATTGAGATGCTAGACCCATTTGCTTAAGTGCTAACTAGGCAGACTAGTTACCACTTAAGGGGGAGTGTTGGAGGGTAGTGTTAGAGTTCTTACATTGGAAAAAAAAAGTAAAATACCACCAACATATACAGAAAGGTGAAGCCCTACTCATCAACTTAAACTTTTGAGATAGAATGTCGATTCCGACTTTATATGCAAGTTGGTTAATTGAGCAAACGACCCATACATGTAAAAAAAAAATATGGCATTCCTGGCGGGGTAAGTCACACAAAATTTTTCTTGCAGTGCCATATAGAGTTAGGTTGAATTCTCTGCCGGTGTAAAAAGGGTGCAGAGCATTCCTTTATATGCTCTTTCAATTCGTGGTTTTGCAAATAAAACCAACCGGAGTAGGCTATTCTGTTTCTGGCCTTATTATTTATTCAAACGGTGTGGCCGAATCCGTTTCTCTCCTTTAATTAGCAAACGAATTAAGTTACTCCGTTTCCTTTTTTTTGATAAATTTCTTAATCATTAAATGGTTCCACCTTCCCTTTTTTGTTCCAATTTTTTTTGCTTTAAACCTTTCCAACTTTTTTTATAAAGTTTTTTTAGTTTTTAGTTTCTCAATGAAATTGATTAATTTTTGTTACTTATAAATAAATTATAAAAAATAATTTAATTACATACAATGAGACAAAATAAAAGAAACTTACATAAAAAATATAGATAAAAAATATACTATAGTATGCAAATGCATGGTTAATACCACCATGTCTATAATACATAAACTCAGACATAACTGAAATCCATGACATAGCTATTCCTCGTTGCGACGTCTCCATGATCAATAGTCCATGTTATTCGGATAGCGGGTTCTTGTAAATCGGTCGGTTCGTGTCCTCTGTCGCGGCGTTGGTCTCACTATCTCAAACTCTGGGGAGGCCATTCAGCCTCATCTAGAAGCGGCTTTATGATGCCAGAGTAAGTGTTGATGTAGGACTGAATTGAAAAACCATTCAGAATCAAATGATCCACGGTGACACTACAGTAATGACATACTGCGTGGACATGACTGCACGGGATATGAAATATTACCCATTGACCACAGCTACATGTTCGTGCATTTAAGTTCACCGTAAATGTCTCCCGCTGCACAACACGACAGTAAAGCCTATTTTCATCATTTTTTCTAATATGTTTCCGCACATTCATATGAAAATTGTACCCGGATTGTTGCCATACATATCCATTTGTTCGCCTCTCAGCAAAAAGTTTGACCAGTGGTGAACTTCATAATGGCATAGACGGGCAAACGACATCCCTCAAGGACATTATTGAAACTTTATGACGAATTTGTGGTCATTATACCAAACAGTGCGCCACTTTCATCATGTGACAATGCCGACATGTGTTTTGGAATAACATTAAGCCAGTTGTAAGCTTCTTGATTTTTGGACGCTATTTGGAGAAGCAACTGGTCAAACTCGCTTCTGCTCGGGGCCTCACCAGCTTTGTACATCAAGGTCCGCAGCTTCTTACTTCGGAACTTGTTCCAGAAATATTTTCTTTAGGTGGCAGAGACAATATCTTCTAATCAGTTGACCTCCACCCAACTCTGGAAGTATGCAAATGCATGGTTAATACCACCATGTCTATCAGATATTATGCATACATGGCAGTGTGGGTGTCCGACATGACACATGACATTTGTCATGAACCATTTCCAACTTGCATCATCCTCAGCATCCACACTGGAAAAAGCCAGAAGAAACATTTCACCATTTCCCGTCGTTGCCATGGCAAGTAATAAACATCTCTTATACTTGCCGTATAAGTGAGTTCCATCCACGGAAATAACTAGAAGATAATAGTAAAAGCCATCTATGAATGCCTTAAAGGACCACAATACATATCTAAATTCAAAAGTAGTTGGTGAATTAGTTGATTGTGTTTGCAAATCAAAGACAGTCTCATAGTTTGACCCCATAATTGCACTGAGCAACGGAGCCGAATTGTTGAACGGCCCTTCCCAACTTCCGTACAATCGTTTGATGGCTAATAACCGTGCACACCATGCCTTCTTGTATGACACAGAAATCTGGAACAACTCATAAACATCTCTGATAATGAGTTTGACTTTATAGTCATCATCTTCAATTTTTGGACCTATCAGGATATTTATGAGTACACTTCTTAACAATTTGTAGTCTTTGGCTCGTGTGTAATATGGTCTCACCACTGGCATTGCTTTACGGTCCATAGAGTAGTCCCTGCATTCTCCGCGGCTTGGATGAACCAAGTGCATTGGGGGTATATACACTACTAGCTTTTCAATAACGACTCTGTTTCGCTTCTGTGCGAAAGTGTCCATGCTCCGCAATGTTGCGTAAGGACACGGCTTGTTGTAAACTTTGAAAAGATAGATAGGTGTTACCAACCTCAATAATTGGTACGTGGAACGTCGGTTGCAAAGATGTATACTTTTCGCGTCTCTGGATGTCTTGTAAATGTGGCATCGCACGAACGTCGTTGCCATCGTCTCCTTTGTCTGAAGATATGTCCTCTTTCTCTTTCGAAGATTGTTCATCTTTTGTTGAGGGTGCAACGTAGAGAGCATCATCTGGATTGCTATCAACGTTTTGAGCGAAATTGGATGAAGAGGGTTGATCCATTGGTTGCAGAAAGATTGTCATCCTCTTCCTCCGTCGTGTTGGGAAATAAGCTACCACCCAACAATTTGAACATAATAGCTCTAACATGTTGTAGGTAATCAACATCTCCACTATAATTTGTCAACTCCTTAGGAACAACTATAGACATCTTAATTATAGAAGAGGTAATATCAGATGTTTCAAGTCTAAGTCCCATCATGTCGTCACATATCTGAATCCATTGAACCTTTGATCGACCAGTGATCCCTGCCAATGGAATGCCATCTACGGGCAATCTAAGCAAAACCTCAACATCTTGCAAAGTAATTTCCACCTTTCCAATGGGAAGATGGAATGAATGGGTCTCCATTTTTACACTAAAGAAGTAATCAAAGCCCAATCCAACTGTAATCCACCAACTTTCTTTACTCCATAAAATCCATAATCTTGTAAAATCTCTATTACACGACGTGGTCTATTAGCAACAAGAGTCTTCGTATATAAACTAGAACAAGTCCTATGACACTTTAATATCACTTTAACATATTCTTCGCTCACCCATACCGCATCACACCTATGTTCTCCGGGTTCAAGAACTAAAACATCTCGTGAAATAGGTCCCGAATGAACATCTATTTGCTTCAAAGATTACAACATAACGATTTGTTCACTTAATAACAATTCATTTGCTTCTAAGATTACAACATAACAATTTATTCATTTAATAAAAGCAAAACAAGACAATTATAATAAGAAACTCATAAAGTAAATAATTACTCAAGAGAGACCGTCGGAGGAAGACAGATCGTCGGAGGACAAAGAGAGACCGTCGAAGGAAGAGAGGGGAAGAGGAAGAGGACGGAGATCGGACTACGCTACTCCGTTTCATGGAGGAATTTTCTATTTTTGACTTATATTAAGCAAACATTTATCATTTTATGATAATATTGAGATATATATACTTTAATTTTATAAATTTGAGATTCATAAATCTATTTTCTCATAAATTATATTGGATTTATTCTGATTGTTATATATTATTACTTTCAAAGATTTTGAATTTGATTCTTATAATAGATTTAATATTTCAAAAATATTGATAAAAATTTGGAATTTTTTTATTTTGAGATTGTAAGATAATTTTTAACTTAATTATTTACTTTATGAGTTTTTTATTATAATTGTCTTGTTTTACTTTTATTAAATGAATAAATTGTTATGTTAAAATCTTTGAAGCAAATGAATTATTATTAAATGAATAAATTGCTATGTTGTAATCTTTGAAGCAAATGGATGTTCATCCGGGACCTATTTTACGAGATGTTTTAGTCTTTTAACCCGGAGAACATATGTGTGATGCGGTATGGGTGAGCGAAGAATATGCTGAAGTGATCTTAAAGTGTCATAGGACTTGTTCTAGTTTATATATGAAGACACTTGTTGCTAATAGATTTACATCGTGTAATAGAGATTTTACAAGATTATGGATTTTATGGGGTGGAGAAAGTTGGTAAATTGTAGTTGGATTGAGCTTTGTTTACTTCTTTAGTGGAGAAATGGAAACTCATTCTTCCCATCTTCCCTTTGGAAAGGTGGAAATTACTTTGCAAGATGTTGAGGTTTTGCTTGGATTGCCCGTAGATGGCATTTCATTAGCGGGGACAGTGGATTCAGATATGTGACGACATGATGGGACTTAGACCTGAAGCATCTGATATTACCTCTTGTATTATTAAGATGTCTACAATTGTTTCTAAGGAGTTGACAAATCATAGTGTAAGGAGTTGACAAATCATAGTGGAAATGTTGATTACCTACAGCATGCTAGAGCTATTATGTTTAAGTTGTTGGGTGGTAGCTTATTTCCCAACACGGCAGAGGAAGAGGATGACAATCCATTCTTTCTGCAACCAATGGATCAACCCTCTTCATTCAATTTCGCTCAAAACGTTGATAGCAATCCAGATGATGCTCTCTACGTTGCACCCTCAACGAAAGATGAACAATCTTCGAAAGAGAAAGAGGACATATCTTCAGACAAAGGAGACGATGGCAACGACGTTCGTGCGATGCCACATTTACAAGATATCCAGAGACGCGAAATGTATACATCTTTGCAACCAACGTTCCACGTACCAATTATTGAGGTTGGTAACACATATCCTTCTTTTCAAAGTTTACAACAAGCCGTGTCCTTACGCAACATTGCGGAGCATAGACACTTTCGCACATAAGCGAAACAGAGTCATTATTGGAAAGCTAATTGCGTATATACCCCCCCAATGCACTTGGTTCATCTAAGCCGCAGAGAATGCAGGGACTACTCTATGGACCATAAAGCAATACCCGGGGTACCACCAGTGTAGACCAGATTACACACAAACCAAGGACGACAAATTGTTAATAAGTGAACTCATAAGTACCCTGATAGGTCCAAAAATTGAAGAAGATGCTGACTATAAAGTGAAACTCATTATCAGGGATATTTATGAGTTGTTCCACATCTCTGTGTCATACAAGAAGGCATGGTGTGGATGGAACTTACTTATACGACAAGCATAAGGGATGTTTATTACTTGTCATGGCAACGATGGGAAATGATGAAATTTTTACCCTGGCTTTTTCCATTGTGAATGCTGATGATGGTACAAGATGGAAATGGTTCATGACAAATGTCATGCGTCATGTCGAACCCCCACACTGCCATGTATTCATAATATCTGATAGACACGGTGGTATTGACCACGCATTCGCAAATCTTCCAGAGTTGGGTGGAGGTCAAGTGACTCGAAGATATTGTCTCCGCCACCTACGAAGCAATTTCTGGAACAAGTTCCGAAGTAAGAAGCTACGGACCTTGATGTACAAAGCGAGTGAGGCCCCGAGCAGAAGCGAGTTTGACTAGTTGCTTCTCCAAATAGCGTCCAAAAATCAAGAATCTTACAACTGGCTTGATGCTATTCCAAAACACATGTGGGCATTGTCGCATGATGAAGGCAGCGCACGGTATGGTATAATGACCACAAATTTGTCAGAAAGCTTCAATAATGTCCTTAAGGGATGTCGTTTGCCCGTCTATGCCATTGTGAAGTTCACCGATGCTAAATTGATCAAACTTTTTCCTGAGAGACGAACAAATGGATATGTATGGAGCAATCCGGGTATAATTTTCCTATAAATGTGTGGAAACATATTAGGAAAAATGAAGAAAATAGGCTTTACTGTCACGTTGTGCAGCACCACGCACAACAAGGGATATACTCTCTGGTGGTGGATGGGTCGTCCAACATTGCTCAGCGAGAGACATTTACGGTGAACTTAAATGCACGAACATGTAGCTGTGGTCAATGGGTAATATTTCACATTCCATGCAGTAATGTCCACGCAGTATGTCATTATTGTAGTGTCACCGTGGATCATTTGATTCTGAATGTTTTTTCAAATCAATCCTAAATCAACGCTTACTCTGGCATCATAATGTCGCTTCCAGATGAGGCTGAATGGCCTACTCGAGAGTACGAGATAGTGAGACCAACGTCGCAACAGAGGACACGAACCAGCCGACCTACAAAAACCTGCTATTTGAATAACATGAACTATCGATCATGGAGACGTTGCACCGAGGAATAGCTATGTCATGGATTTCAGTTATGTCTAAGTTTATGTATTATTAAATTCACAAAATAAGTTAGTCATAGATTGTGTTTTGTAATTTTATTTTTATGAATAAATTATATGTACTCTATCAATAAATTTCTTGTATTTTTCTTCTTCTTTTAATTTCGTTGTATAAGGTTAACTTAAAGTCAATAAATAGTAGTTTTATTTTTAAATTTTTTATAGTATATTTTTTGCATCTATATTTTTTTTACGTAAGTTTCCTTTATTTTGTCTCATTGTAATTTTTTATAATTTATTTATAAGTAACAATAATTAATCGATTTCATTGAGAAACTAAAAATTAAAAAAAATTTATAAAAAAAGTTGGAAAGGTTTAAAGCAAAAAAAAAAAGAAACAAAAAAGGGAAGGTGGAACCATTCAATGATTAAGAAAATTATCAAAAAAAAAAAGAGATAAGGAAACGAAGTAGCTTAATCCATTTGCTAATTGAAGGAGAGAAACGAATTCGGCTACTCCATTTGAGTAAAGAATAAGGCCAGAAACGGAGTAGCCTACTCTGGTTTGTTTTATTTGGGAAACCACGAATTGAAAGGCACAAGTACACATACATAGCAAACAAACTTGAATGAAAAACACTTAAATCTCACTATACCAAAAATGTTTGAAACAAAAATATGCTTACAGGTACTTGGAGGCCAATCTTGCTCACACTATCCATCAATTCCCGCACCTTCTGTGGATCATTAGATCTAGTGGCCATGAGGGGTCTTCGGATTTTATCCAGCGGAAGTTCCAGAATCACTGGCCCGCCTGATTGAGGTGCACTACGACCATGCCCTAAAAAGCAATCCACCAAACCACAGCTAATTGTTACTCCTCCCTAAAAGATGTTCTTGTTTCATTTTTTGGGCATCTCATAACACACTTCTATCCCGCCTCAAATGCCAAAAAAACTTTCAAAACAACTTCTACCCACAACAAATGAGAAATGTGGTAAATCTTAGGCATTTCAGATGTGGGTAGAATGTGTTTTACAGGATGCGCAAAAATTAAAATAAGAACATCTCTTTTGGGACGGAGGGAGTATATATCTATTAACACTAGAGTAAATCCAAGTGTTTGATCCATCTAATTTCATAGATGGAATTCTCCAAAGTCTTGTTGAGAAACAAATGCAGATTTGAAAAAAAAATCAATGAATTTTATTTCTGTACAGTGTACAAATTGTAGAGAGAAGAGGAGGATGGAGAACGTACCATTAGAGGACGAAGAAATAGAAAAGAGGCGAAGGGTGCTTGGAACTTTCAGTAGAAAGTTTGCCATTTTCCCATCTCTTCTTCACACGGCCACTGGATTATAAAGGAAGAATGTGAACCGTCAACAGCCAGTTGATATTTCCAATTTCATGGATTCTTTATTACTCTCTCGGTCGAAGTTCCTGTATTACTCCACTAGTGTTAACTAGGGGTGGGCAATAGGGTCCAGGAACCGGGAGTCGGAACCGGACTGCTAGGTTCGATCCGGGTTAGGGCCGGGTTCTCTTTTCAAAAATTTCAAACGGTTCGGGTCAGTCCGGTCCTTACAAATTTTAGAGTCGGTCCGGTTCCTCATTTTGAAATTATATTGGACCCGGATCGGACCGTTTTTTAAATCCCAATATTATTTTTAATATTATTTTTAGTAAATATACGGATATATGGAAGTATACCCGCCTAAGCCCTTCAATCTTTTGGTCCTTCCAATTGCAAGCAGAAAAGTAAGAAAATCTTTCATAGTCAGAGAGTCGAAACCCATGAAGATTGTGAATTTTGTTCTTTTTGGAACCCATTGATATTGAGCCTGTTTGGGATTAGCTTTAGCCATTAGCTTTAGCGTTTTGAAAAGGCTATCTACGGGCAGCGTTTAGCATTAGCGTTTTCAAAATAATCTGCACCGTTAAAATTTTATCCAAAACGCTGACGCTAATCTCTAACGCTATTCCCAAACAGGCCCATTATAATGCCAAAATATGGTTGTCTTCTTTTTTATTATTACTAGATTTCGTACCCGTGTGTTGCACGGTCTTTAATGTGTGATAGTGTATGGTTTAAGAGTAAATAATATAGAAATTATATACTTCCTCCGTCCCAAAAAGTTTGTTACGTTTAGAAAAAAATGGGTCCCGTAAAGTCCATTACATTTCTATTAAAAAATCACTTTTACCCCTTACTTTTTCATACCCTACCTATCACATCATACCTTTTTCCTAATAATCTACTTACCACATTCTACTTTTACCCATCACATCAAGGGTATTTTTGGAAAGCCAATACCAAAATATCTCTCTCTTAATTTCCCAAAAAGTCAAACCGTCCCATTCTTTTTGGGATGGAGGGAGTATTTTAGAATTTTTATCTTTAATATATCTCTTTCGTATGTTTTCTGTATAATAAACTAGGTGAAGAGTGTTATATTTCGTAATGTATAATTACAACTTCTATTAATGTTTTATGATATGATTATTCTTTCATTCCTAAGATGGTACGAAGAAATATTTAATGTAAGAAACACTATAAGCTTTTATGAAGTTACCTAATCTTTTTACTGACACCACTTTTCAATGACACATTACACTCATATTCTCTGTAATAGAAAGAGAATAAAAACTAAATGTTACACAACACATTATATTTACATTAGAGATATTAAAGTGATTGCACAAATTTACTGCTCTACAAAATAAGGAATATATTTCAATGAGACCATGCTATAGAAAAGACTGCGATAAACAAAGTATATTGTATATCATTCATAGATACAACCAATTTTTAGGGGATCCAATTTTTTCTCATTTGTACATTTCAAAATAACTCACAGAACATATTAAAGGAATATTTTTCTCACAAAATAAACTACATTGTAAATCAATTATAAAAGATAAACTTATTAGAGTTTCTTACAAAATAAACTATGGTCAAGTTTTGAAAGAGCGTTTCAATTAGTATTAGTGTTTTGGATAAAATTTTAACAATGTAAATTAACTCCGAAAATGTTAACGCAATAAGCTATTATTAGATACTTTTCAAAACGCTAGCCTCTAGTGCTGATGCCAAATGAGACCTAATTCACAAAACATATTCATGATTTGTTCTATCCATCTTCCGCATTTAAAATACACTTTCTCTGTCTAACAAAGTCACGAAACTATTATTTATTTGTGTATGAATAATTATTTGATAAAATAAAATCTTTTTGTCACCTAATATTTTGTAGAACTTTTGACACAGTTCTAAAATGTGTAAGTTTAATTTTAATTTTTTATCAACTATTAAATAAAATGAATATTAAAAAAATTGAAATTTTTGTTTTGTTTTACATAAAATGTACTGAAAAACATTCTAGGACAAACTGTATTATTTCCTTATTAGTGTCCCCTAAATTTTTTACGGACTACATTATTTTGCACTATTCTTTTCATTTATTGTTTGGCAATTTTTGTGTAAGTGTCAATCTTCTTCCCCACCACAACCACCACATTTCTCTCACAATTACCATCATTCTCTGGAATCTTCTTCCTCTTCCAGTAGATCTACCCCTTTTTATCTTCACGTTCATTTTTTTCTTTCTTCAGACCTTACGCCCCTCCGCCGCCCCTTCGCCGAACTCATGTTTTCATTGCCAAGTCATCGCCAAATCTACTATTTTGCTGCCGTCAAGTTATCTCTTCCATTGCCATCAAAACCTTAGGTTCGCTCTTCCGAGTTCCAACACCGTCAAGATCTCGGATCTACTCTTCTGTCTTCGTCAAAACGTCATACTTTTTTTCTCCACCCCAAAATATTAGATCTTCTTAATACCTACAGTGTTGTCATCTTACAAAGCTCTGATGGTGGGCAGATCTAAGACAAATCGAAAGCGATGGAGGGTTACTGAGGGTTAGAAAAGTTGGCGGCCGTGGGTATTTTGGGGTAATCAACCACATTATCATTTGTGTTCCGCTTCCGTTGTCTTGTCTATGGAAATCAGATGAACTTATGTGAGATTTTCAATTCTATTTGAACTTTTTTATACTCCGTATATTTTTTAAATCCATTTATCTTTCCGTGATTGACTCAGACTTTTTTGTTTAAAATTGGTGTTTAATTTATGTATGTCATTGTTCCATTGATTGGATGCTCTGATTTAGTTGTAGTGAAGATTTTTCAATGTGATTACACTTAAAATATGGATTATAATATTTTTTATTGAAATTGAAGTATTGAAAATTGAGGGGATGAAGCATTGATTACCAAAGATTTAATACTTCAAAGTTTTGAAAAATGTTTTCTGAATTCAATCATTCATTTCTTAAAAGGATCTTATTTTTATTTTGAATCTTTGTGATAAAGTCATATCCAATGTCCTTTTAATTATCTTTGCAAACAGAAAGTTACAATTTTTTTCTTGAACAAATCTTTTTGCTCCACTTTATGTCTTTATCTCAGAATGAGTGTGCCCAACCTTCATTGTAACTATAAAAGTTTTAAAGATTGGGCTCAAAAGTGGCTTTATAGTATTACTTTCAATGCTTTGATTTTTAGCACATCAAAAACATTAGTTGAACTAATTGTCTTATACTTTGATCTTTCAAAATGCTCTCTTCTACTTTCTTCTTCTTATTTCAATGTTTTTGCTCAAACTGCTTCTAAGGTCTAAGGAGAAATCCTTCATTTAAACTCTTTTGATTGATACTTGTATGATTTTTTCAAACTACCTTTATGGATGATTTAGTTCTTCACTGCAATGCTATAGATTTTTATTGTGTGAAATAGTGTTGAATGCATCCTTCAGGATTGATTTTTCTACTCTGCAGTTTAAGAATTTGCAACGATTATTAAGAGTATTACATATGGTTTTCACCAGTTTAAGTATGCAATTTCACTTAATTTATTACGCATATAATTTCTTTCGAGAGGAAAAATAAAGATGTCATTCAAGGTGGAAAGAAGTACCTGGAGGACAGAGAATAGAAACTTTTGGTATAGGTTGCATTCGAAATTATTAAAAAAACAAAAATATGCAAAAAACCAAATGAAGTTTGTAATGAGTTTGAAATTAAAGATGTAGTTCATATTTATACTATAGTCTTGTGCAAGCAGAAGTTTAAAAAGATTTGGTGAATCATGTTAATTATTACACTTATTTAATTCAAGCACATCTCTCAATAAATAATCATGATAATAATGATAAAAGTAAGGATTGCTTTAATGGCACAATCTCCAAAGGCTGCTGCGTGCTCCCAATCTCCAAGGACTGCTGCCGTGCTCACTTTATCCAAGGACTTCAGAATTGACATTTTACAGTAAACTAAATCTTTGATGGGCCAGAAATATCAGCCCATTACCTTGCATAATTAAGCCCAGTAAATAGGTCCATTTCATTTGGCGGGAACACTGTTCATAAAGTGCTCTTACCATTGTATATAGAAGGATAGTTGGATGATAATGAGGTGTACACTTTACTCTCATGCTCCTCTCTGTCATCGTTTTATTTTCATTTACGCCTCTTTTTTTATGTTGGATGGCTTAAATTAATTTTTTATCCCTTAATGTTTTTAATATTAGTATCATGATAGGTTTGGACCCGTTGACCCGTGGAACCGGCCCGTTTCAAACAAGCCAGGTTAGGTCCGGTTTCAATTTTAAAATTTTGAAAACCCGTTCCGGCCCGGACCGTTTTAAAAAAAACAAGTCGAGTCCTGTTTATACAAATCTTGGCTCGGACCGGCCCGTGCCCACCCCTAGTGTTAACCCGTGCGAATAAAATTTTTGATATTTTATATATATAATTTTATTTATTTAGTTTTCTAATAGTGACATAATATGCGTTAGATGAATATTTTTTTAACTCTAAGATATATTTTTTTCCAATTATATAATTTAAATATAGATGTACATGCACTAAAGACTCTATAAGTATTTTCTTTAAAAGTAGTAAAAGAGAAATGATTTATTGTTTTTAAAAATAATATAAAACTTAATTTTTCAAAATATTGATAAAGTTAAAAAATATTTTATAGATATAATTTAATTATGTAAACAAAATATGTTTTAAACTGGTGGAATCGTATTGATATGTTTATTTAAAAACAAAAATTTTATACAAAACTAAAGGTCATTATTGAATGAAGTACTAATGAAAATAGTTTTAATTAATAAAATATTATAATAAAAAATGGATTAATTAAATTATCCTATATATTGGATATATAGGATATAATAAAACATTATTGAATGAAGTACATGTGGATGCACATGTGGCATGCCACATGTCAACACTCCAAGAAGTTAACTTAACTTTACATATATATATATATAGGATAGGATATAGGATAGAATATATAGGATAGGATATAGGATATAGGATATAGTATATAGGATAGGATAGGATATATAGGATGTATAGGATATAGGATTATAGGGTTATGTTTTAACTTTTAAGGAGTAGTTAATATTCATTTTCGAATAATATAATATTTATTTTTTAGTATAATTGGATTTATAAAAAAGGTTATGTAGCCAAGTAGGTACTTGAAAAAGAGTGTTTAGTTACTGATAAATTGATACTCACCGTAGTAGAGATGAATGGGGGCAAGTACCCCCAATGAATTTTTAACTTCTTAAGAGTATTCAATTAAAAAAATTGTGATGTCCCCATCATAAAAAATTAAATGACCCC